TATAATGTTAACAAAAAAATATATTCCCAACATAATTAAATGTATCAAAAAATATCAAAAAGCTCATCAGAAATCTACATCGGCTGTTTGGATGCACAGAAAATTCTTTATTTTCGTGTTAATGTAACAAAACGAATAAAATAAATGTTTCAACTCTTCAATTCCTTATCAATATAAAATATAAGTCGAAATTACATATGTAACGCAAATTCCAAGATGGTAATTCCCGATAATTTAGCTCTTCTTTGTCCGAATGCCAAATTAGTTATGTAATAGCGAAATGATTATCAAAAATATTAACTTATACAATAATAATATAAAAACTTACATAAAGTAAAACCGGATAATTAATTGTCATTTTTGTCATTATTATTTATATTCCTTGAAAAATCACCCCTTTGATTCGTGATGATTTTTCATTAATTAAATTAATTTACTTTTGATGGTTGATAAGATAAGTAAAGATTATATTAATAAGATTGATATAATATTTATTTATTATAATTACTCATTTATAGTAATAGCCCAAGATTTACGTATTTTTAAGTTGTATCACTTTTGAAGTAAAGCAGCGATATATAAAAATGTATTGTATTTAAATATGTTTAATGATATATAAAGTAAATGTAATGGACTAATCCGTAATTACGTGACATTTAATGTATTACATTTGTGCGTATTGTATAATAGCGTACTACATATTAGCTGTTTTATCTGCAACTCTAAAGTCTAGTTGCGTCAGTAAGTAGTCCTTGTTTGGATCACGAAATTGTTGCTTCATAATTTCCTCGAAAATTAGTGCGATGAGGGTATCGTTAAATTCCACAAAATATTAAAAGATACAAAAAACAGAAAATATTACTTTAGAAATATATGAAAAATTTTGACTATTTCAAGCTCCTCTTCCACGATTGGAAGAATAGAAACTATATTTGTGTCGTGATACGAGTAACACCTGTACGCGGTCAATTTCGCTCCATGCTTGATCGATTAGCGTCAAATTCATAAGCTCATCTGTACATCCGTTATATATCGGGTAACGTGAGATTGTTGCCGATCCCGATGATATTGGGGAGGAGAATGTCGAGCGCAAGTCCCCTGTAAGGCGACACAGGTACATATGGGCTCTCCCGTAGTGAATGGACCAAATGATATAAATTATTTATAGATTTCGACACCCAGACAGAGAGAGAGATAGAGGCGGGCGCGGAGGGTATGCGGAATTGGGGTGAATCTGGACCCCCTAGGGGGTCCGCTCGCGATCGAAAAGTCCCCCCGGGGGACTCCCCCGCGCTCCCCTTAACATATGCATTCTCGCTTCGAGATCACCGTAAGCCTATATAAAATTGATTCCTAAGTACCTTGTATTCGTGTCTCGGCCTCGTGTGTCTTTTAACACCTACATACTTGCCCCCTTCCTCCCCCTTACTTTTCTTTTTTCAAATACGTAGCAAATAAGGAGCGAGTATTGCAATAACTATAGTTTCAGTTATCAATCATCTTCGGCAACGTGACAGATATGATAAATTTAGCTTGTTTTTTTATCAATAGATCTCTATCAATAGAAAAATATTTTAAATATTGTTCTTATAGTGCATAAAACATGACTATTTTGTACTATTTGCCATTCTCGACTGTTTGTTTATTACTAATTACTTTACAGTTATTGTTTGTCTTTTTCTAATTTCAGCTTAAACTGAAATAAAAATGTCATACAATCGAAGCTGACTAAACCGTCTTAGATCCGTTTCTACCACTATAAGATTATTCCTCGGTTCAATTTATTGTTTATTTTTTTCTTATTCTGAGAATAGAATAAGTTAAACTGAGTTATGCCTATTTCCACCAATGTAGATTAACTTTAATCTCGGTTCAACTTACTCTTCGTCTTTTTCTAATTTTTAGAATTGGAAAAAAAACGAAGAGTAAATTGAATCGAGATTAAATTTAATCTACATTTGTGGGAAACGGACATTAGAGAGAGTAAGTTAAACTGAGATTATTGTTAATCTTACATTGGTAGAACCGGCCCTTAAGAACATAGAAATCTCGCTGATTATACTACACCGAGCACTTTCGAACTTGGTCTTGTAACAAATAGGAACGGGCCCGCGATCGCGCAGCTCGCCCCCCTGGGGTCCAATCTAAATCAATGGGCTTGTGGGTAATCGCATAATAATTACCATGGACCCCCTCTACCGCCCATCTGTCGCTGACCGACGGGGCGTACGACCCTCGGAAGAAGCAGGCACTCCACACACGGCGACACACCCGATGAACACGTCCCAGCAGGTCCCATTGTCGACGAGCACCGTTCGGAATGTCGCGAAGTTGAGACGCCCCTCGGCAGTCACCACTCTTTCCAAACTGCTATACACTCGATCGTGTACAAATCATCGCGAAATGCAATTCTCAAACTAATATCTTACTTCAATTTAAATCCACAAATTAAGTCTCGTATGTGATACTCATATCATAGATTATTGATAGATTTCTCCAAAGCTGTATAGACATATTTATTTAATGTAACAGAGAGTGTGAAGTATTATCATCAATGTGGCCATTTGTTTCAGATAACAAAATGGAGATAATATTTTTAATCAGCTTTTGCCTCGGCCTAGTGACCGGCCACTTTCGTGGACCACATCATCCAAGGAGCAGCGTGTCTCATCATCATTACACACCGGACAGCGACGCAATCAAATTGACGCAGGATGATGAACTCCTTCATGATGCAACGTGAGAAATAATTAAGCAAAATAATTAGTTCTATAAATAATCTTGCTGTTTTATAATTAATATATAATTAATTCCTTTATATATTTTTACATCTATCATATAATATCTATTTACTATAACGATATAACTAAAAAATTATCATTTTTTTATGTTGCTTACAAAAAAAGAATGTAGACTTAAAAAAAAAGACATAATTTAGAAGAACATACTTTTATTCCTCTACAATGTTATTTTTACAAAAAATTGCATTTTAAAATTGATATAAAATTTTAATAATGCGAAGCATTTGAACTCATTTTCTGGAAAACTTTGTTTTTTTTTTTTAATTGTGTCGTTGTAGCAAATGATTGATCTTGTGATCGTTTATCTTACGATTATAGACATTTAAAAGAAGATATGGGTTCCATGGCCGATCAACTCGATTTTTCGAAAATGACTGAACAAGAGATAGAGTTCCACTATTTCCAGTATGTTTCAGATATCAAAGATTGCTTCGTTTATCCGCTTTAAACGTTTCTTTTTACACATTGCTAATATAAAAGCTTCGTAATTATAGAATTCACGATTTCGACAATAATACAAAGTTAGACGGATTAGAAATTCTTCATGCTCTTCAACATACGATGCATGAAAACGAGGAAGAGGGGATACAAAAACCAGAGGAAGACTGGATTGTAGGTACGTTTCAATTCTATATATTTAGAAAATATACTTATATATTACGCTTCTTTTTGAAGTATACAATAAAATTATTTAATCTCTATTTTACCTTAGTGCTAATAGATAAAGTGTTAGAAGAGGACGATTTAAACAACGATGGATATCTAGAATATGTCGAATATGTGTTGGGCAGACAAAGGGATCATGTCGCACAAGAAAAACGCAACAAGCTCAGAATCGGAACATGAAGATTTAGATATAAACGATTTGCATCATAGAGGTTTTTTAATTATATGTCAATATAGTTCGTGTCGTAAAATTGAATTTAAAAGTAGAATTTATAAAGAAATGAATTGAATTTATAAAGAAATGAAGGGAATCTTGGCGAAAACTACTCAAATAACATAAAACATAAAAATATTGAAAAAGAAAACAAAAAACAGAAAGTGAAACAAAAAATAAAAAACGGTTAATGTAAAATTGCAATCAAATAATATATAAGCTCACCTGATAAAATACAATCTTAACAATCATATCTCAGTCGAAAGCTTAATTTTCTCATAGCGCCCGTTACAGCCCAGGTTCTTACTGTCTTCCAGTATTGTACACTTACGTTCTGGCTTAAAGATATGTATAAGGGAGCAGAGAATCGTGGATGTAATCTTTGGCTATCAAATCGGCTGCATGGTCAACATCAATGTATTCCAATAGCTCAATGAACAACTTCTTAACAAGAGTTTTAAAAGAATTTTTGCGAAAATCGTCACCATCGTATTGACAAGCGATCTATGATAAATAATTTATCGGCATTCCTTCACGAAAACGAATATCTCTTTTGGTGGCTCGCTCTAGAGCTTGTGGAAGCAATTTTTCAAAAAAGTCGCACTAACTGTTTCTGATACATGCTTACTGTGATGTGCAAGCTAATAAATTATTTGATTATTTATTTGATTATTAATTTTATATTGAACGTTTTTTATTTTCTGTTTCACTTTCTGTTTTTTATTTTCTTTTTCAATATTTTTTATGTTTTATGTTATTTGAGTAGTTTTCGTCAAGATTTTCTTCATTTCTTTATCACTTTCAAATTCAATTTTACCGTGATTCAAAACGTTTGAATACATAATAAAATTGATTACGCAACAATAACTGGCGTCGGCTCTTAAAAGCGTTTTATTTCAATTTGATTTAATACAAGTAACGACATGAATAAACTTAATATGTCGTACAGTTTTCATTTGTCACACAATTTAAAACATTTAGATCCATCTTCAAAACATTAATATATAATTAAGAACCATCGTACATATAAAAAAGAAATTATAAAATGTAAAATATATTGTAAAAGCTAATACAAATTTTAAAAATTACAACAGGAATCAAGTACTGATGATATCATACTGCTGATACTCAGTACTGTGACCGGTATTCAATAATTAAGTTTGGTTCTTAAGTTCTTGAGATATCGCAAATTAATCAGAGGGCCGCATTAGCGTTTTATGACATTATTTAAGACGATCTTGAAATAAGAACCGACTATGAATACCGGCCTAATATTATTGTACACAATTATTTATTTACAATATTTTACTATTGTCCATTTCATACAAGATCAAAAAATTATTTTTTCGAAATACAGATAAATTATATATAAGATATATTTGTATGAAGAGCTTTGTATTACGGATCAAAGAAAAATTAACTTGGACGGAACATACGTTGTTGATTAAGGCAAAGGAAGTTCAAGTTTAGCAGCAAGGGAAAATCTCTCGAATCGGATGCAAATAAGATTATTTCAACTCGGTCCGCTTATCATTCCGCTTATATCTCATGCTTGTTTTGATAACTGTGATGATAGCTATGTATACAAGAAAAGTAACATTCATATATGGCTATGGTGATTATATACGTACATAACACCATGTATATAACACTCACGAAAAAATCGAAATGAGTAAATTTAACTAAAGTGTGCTATATCATTCTTTATTATTATCCCTCATTATACAGCTATTCCTCATGGAAATGCTCCGTCCAGGTTTTTGGTTTTTCTCTTCTTAAAAAAAAAACCTATTTTGATTCTTTCTCTTCTTAATAACAATTCAGAGGAACCTTCGTTATAATTATATTTTTTTCCCAAAGATCTTTCACTACTTGAATCTATAATAGTCAAAATAATCGCAAGTTAATCATTGTACACACATCACTTAATAAAATATTGCAAACAATATATACTTTATACCTTTATGTTAGCATCTTCGATTTTCAAATCCTTCACAAGTATAAAATCAGGATACGCTTCTATTATTTGTTTAATCGCAGGGACAAATTCTTTGTCAATTTCTAAATATTGTGGCTCATATTCGTGGTATTCTTTGGAATTTTCGGTAGAGTAGTATATTTTATATACTTTATCTTCTTTTATTAATCTGATAATACAATAACGTTATTAATACAATAGTTATATATTATTATTATATAGTTTTTGAACTCGCTTTTCAAAATGGATTATAGCTCACCTGATACAATACAATCTTAACAATCGTATCTCAGTCGAAAACTTAATTTTCCCATAGCGCTTCAGCCCGTTACAGCCCAGGTTCCTACCGTCTTCCAGTATTGTACACTTACGTTCTGGCATAAAGATATAAGGGGGCAGAGAATCGTGGATGTGACCTTTGGCCATCAAATCGGCTGCATGGTCAACATCAATGTATTCCAATAGCTTCATGAACAACTTCTTAACATGAGTTTTAAAAGATTTTTTGCGAAAATCGTCATCGTATTGACGACCGATATATGATAAATAATTCATCGGTACTCCTCCACGAAAACAAATATCTTTTTTGGTAGCTCGCTCTAGAGCTTGTGGAAGCAATTTTTCAAAAAAGTCGTACCAACTGTTTCTCTGATACACGCTTACTGTGATGTGCAAGCTATAAGTATCGAGAGCCATTGCTTGATGGATGGTTCCTCGTGGTAGATACAACAAATCTCCAGCATTGATAACCTTATCCAATATTGGCTCTCCTAACTCAGACTCATCAAAATTCCTTGAGGAATACCGTGGCAAATGTTCACTTAGTTTAAGTGGCTTATATAGTTTCCATCTCTTTTTACCCTCGACTTGCAAAATAAATGCTTCCACATCATCATAATGAGGAGCAAAACCTTGGCTATTAGCTGGCGTGAGATATATATTAGCACCAACAAAGCAACCAAAAAATTCTTGCAGAGTAGCTACAAAACACGTTACAAATTTAAAAAGTAATAATAAATTCTTAAAATATAACTACACTATATTTTTTACCATTCAAAGCATGTATCTTGGGTATAAATATTTGAGGATTTAACATCCTAATAGAGCAGTTGTTTCTAAAATAGTCCCAAACAATACTTGGATATGCGCGACCGGGAGGATTATGAATCTCTTTCACTCCATGAGAGTAGGAGGTTATGTCAAGATTTTTAGTAAATAGAACATTATTATCTCTCAACATTTCTTCGAATGAAGACATTGATAAAAGGAGCTTATAAAAATCATCTGTATCTCTTTTTATATATATTGGATTCGTTTCCCAATGTTGTCTGATTCAAATAAAAAAATTGATATTAATGCACAATAAAAAATGTGTATAAACATATATAAATTGTACTTATCAATTTCAACTTACTTAAAGAATTCTTTTGCAGTGATAGGACACATCAACCATTTAAATAGTTGCTCACAGTCTTCAACAGGATTGCGATGACTATTTTTATTTATCTTAATACTTGCAGAAAGTGGATGATTTGTATCACTTAAATTTGTACTTGAATGACTTGTCTCTTGTGAATCTATACTCGTATTTATGCTTGTATTCAAGTGACTTGAATTTACATTATTTAAAATATTTTCCCTGCTTTCTGTTCCCTTTTTTTTTGCATGAATAATCCGAACAGTTTCTTTTTTCTTCTTAGCCTTTTTATTTTTCTTATTCTCTTCTTTCATAATTTTTAATTTTGATTTATTCAAGACACCTTTACATTCCATCTCGTTTCTTATGCTTGCTTGTTTAACATCTTTTCGTTCTTTGTCAAAAGTTTTCTGTTTTTTTTTTTTACTCAATAACTGTTCTATGCGTTTGCGTTTTGCTGTATATACAGCAAAAGCTGATAGCGGGTTTTCCATATTATTTAATATTAAATATTAACTTAAACACAATCAGATTTAACTTAAGTTTATATTTCTTAAACGTTAAGTTAGAATAATCCAGTAGCTTATCACAAATAAGTCAGCAAATTTTTTGCTCTTTCTTATCTTTCACTGGTTATTAATGATCAAAGTAGCTTTTAACCTATATCTGTTCGATTATAACACATAAATTGTTGTACCTGTAATAACACTTTCTCTGCAATGATTATATTTCAAAATTAAAGTTAAATACAAAATTCTATATAAATTTTTTCGTTATAAAATTAAATAGGTATCGCTTCCCATTGCGATCCATTTTCTTCTCTTTTAAAAGCAATGTGTTACTAAGAGGTTAGATTCCAACATATATTGCGTTAATGCGAAAGCTACATAAAGAGTCAATCAAGTCAATAGTCAGAAAATTTTTATAGTTTTATAAAAAAAACTACGATGTAACTTATTGTTAAACATACTGACCTCTTTTAATATCAAGCATATATGTGATAACGAAGCCACGCAGTATAGAATATTTGTTAGGATATAAGGAACTCACAAGGTGTTAGCTACGTCACAAGCACGTCACTTCCTTAGTATTCGAATAATCGGAGTCTAGATTTCTATGACCGCCCTTAATCCCAAAGGCTGCTATTTCATTTCCATCGTACGATAAATTTTTTAAGCATGTGATTGGTTGTAAGACAGAGAGATTCGAAGAATCTCTCTGTCCTTTTTGTATCTATTTTGGAATTCTTTTAACTTCATTGTATCTGTTATTGTGCAGCTTTTTCACCATGTAAAATACTTGTGCAACGTCATACCTAACTACTAAAATTATCATTAAAAAGATACAGAATAGGCTTATCAGTAGCCCTATTCTTATAGCCTAAGAATCATCATGATTTGTTCCGATAAAAAAAAAAGAAAGATTTTATCCCTTATCTAATGAATAAGAATTAAATTAAAATATAAAGAGTATAAAAAGTAAAAAGTATGAAATATCAAAAATCTAAAAGAATCAAATTGAGTTTTTATTAAAACGGAATTTAAATTTTCTTTTAGGTTTTTTCAATCTCGCGAAATAAATTCCAGTACATTGACAAGCTCTAAATATTTCTTGCGAAGAACAATATTTCATCTCATCTCTTTTTAAATATTACCAATTTAAGAAAAAATATGATTAAAAAATTAATAAATTAAAAAATACCGGTGTTATATAATTATATATATTATAATTACAGATTATTTGAGAATATTTTACGAAAAAGATCGATGATTTTTACAGCACATTTTTCGCATAGAGTCAAATAAAAAGAAAAGATTATATAGATTTTTTCGAAGTTTATTTAGATCCATTAAATCTATACCACCCATAATAAATCTTACGTGACTAAGTTTTGTTTATCTAGAAAATCTATACATAATTATCCGGAAAAAGTAAGATTAAACCCGTACACTGCGATACATGTTACAGTCGAGTCACCGTATTCTGCACTCTACTTTAAACCACTTCTTCATACACTATCTTTCCTATTAATTACATCCTCATCACAATCGGTTTAGAGTGGCATGCCGAACACAGAGACAATAACTTATTCAGTGTTTTAGACAATGTTTATAACGCACATGGAATTGTTCTGCATCATATTAAAGTCACACATAATATTTCAAGGGAGTAGTCCGTATCTCAGTCGAGGTATTATTCAATATAGTGCATAAGTGCCTGTATGCCCGTATGTATGTGTGTTTATTACATATATATATATATATATATATACATACACTCTCTAAATTCTTTGGAATAGAATCTCACTCTTTTAAAGAATGAAAATTAAGTCAATCTTGAAAAAGATTGACTCAATTTTCAATCTTTAAGAGTCAGATTTCATTCTTCAGAGTGAGATTTATTCTAAAAATGTTAAAGAATATATTTTATATGTGTGTGTGTGTGTGTGTGTGTGTGTAATAATTTATGTACATTGCGAATAATGCTCTTGAAGACCACATTAAAACTTATAATCGCTATACTTAATGTCGTTATCTTATATATTAATTGCTGTACGATCTTTTGTCGAATGTTTGTCTCGTATGAATTACGATATTTTGTATATATTCTTTCAGCGTGTACCAGTGAATCAAATTCCTTTTCTCCTCATCTCAATGATGTTTTTGATTACATTCAAGAATTATCTATATACATATATATAGTATACGGTATACCCTTTAATTTCCCAATTGACTTAAAGTCAACGTGTGAATATGGGCGTGTTATGTAGCATCTATGTATACTTTGAAAATAATTTACAAAAATTTTTTCTCCGTTTAATTAGTCGTGACTTATTATCGTAATTTATCGTTGCGTTACCTTTTCCTAGTCAGACACGTGTAATCTTTTTTTTTTTCTTATTCGCGAATTTTCTCCATGGTACGCGCAGAACTTTTAACTCGAAAGGGTCAACGATCCTTATTAATTAACTCCGATTAACAATTTACTTATCTTTTGTTTTAGATTATACAGCCACAACTATAACGTGCATAACTATAACGGGATCCGATTACAACAACAGAAGGTTTAGTTAAGCGGAGTTAATTTGCTGACCGAGCCTGGTGCCCAAGTTGTCGGAAACTGTTACATAGATCGTCTCGCTTTGCTCTCTATTATAATAAAATTCAATACAGATCGACAAGGCGCGAAATATCAAGACGCGTGTTCGCTCGACGAAGACATCTCGCCCATCGACCATCGTTGCTTATCCCGATTTCGCGTCGTGTCACATTCGTCTATTGCATTTGCGAAACAAGAAGCGTCATTTTTATCAATGTTCTAAAACAATCAATATTTGTTATCGATACTCTATTACTGACGTAGCTACTATGCAGAGTCTTGTAGTTCGAGAAACCAAGTAAAGTCCCTATTGACACAATAGCAGGTATTAGCTAGAATATTCTCTACAGAAAACAATATAAAGATCTAATTGATTAAAAACACTTGTTAGAACGTCTTTTAAGTTTAAAATATTTTTTAGATGTTCTGTGTATGCAGATCTTTTAAGAATATGATGGAAATTATGTACCTACACGAATTACGTAAAGAATGTTCGATATTAATGATATTTAAGAGTGCTTTTTATTCCATTACATCTACATCTATTTTTATAAATTTCTTACACATTAAAATAAAAAAAGAGAATTCTATATTAAATTTTGTTGCACATATGTAGTGAATGTAGTGAAATTCATATGAATTTATTTCTTAGATTATAAATATATATAGATATTTTTTTAAGTGTATGAATTAAAAATAGTTTAATGGCCAATTTCTTCACTTCCAAATAAGTTGCGGATAATCTTATCAAGGAGATATCTCTTGGATGAAGTTATCTAGAGGTAAAAAAATTGGACATAAGCCATATGGAGAGATATAAGTTTAATAGAATAAATGTATCGATAAGAAGTATTGAAGGTTCCAGAGCTCGAAGGTTCCTTAATACTTTGCAGAGAAACGATTCGGAAAGCCCGGCAATCTCCGTATTACACAAAATATTGTCTTATATGTCAACTTCCCTTAAAATTCTACATGAAGATGGAGACCATTTCTTTGAACTTCGATTAATGGTTAATATATTGATTATACATATCAAATCGATCCGTTCGTTATTGTACGAGCGGATTTTTGTTCGTACGGTCCTGATTATTTCTTAATCTCATAGGTCGTAGAATATAACATCATAAGTAATAAGTTAATAAGTATATTCGTCCACTGTTATATATCACGTATATATTATCGTATTATATTATCAATGGCACATATATTGTTATTTAGCGTTTATCTTCAGAAGTGTGTTTAAAGATCACGGATGTGATCGATTATGATCCCCTATTGCATTATTCCCAGATGAATTGATCGTCGATCGACTCGTAATGCAGATGTAATTGGCGAGTATAATAAACGTAAGAGACACAAACATGACACAGTCGAATATTTTATAAAAATTCAGAGAAAAACTGAAAAATATTATATTCATTAAATATAACGGAATTAATTAACAACGGAAACCAAAATTCAATAATTATATCTTATGACATAAAAGTCTGATCGTGTGACAGATATGGATAAAATGCATTTGCATGTCGCATATACTCTCTAAACTGTGTTCGCGTTTATTTTATTATACTAATAAAATCTTATAAATATAAAATTATAGAATATTAAGTGAAAATAGACCGAGCAATGTTCAACACAAATAAATGAAAAGGACCATATTTGATCAAGGCAGGTCTTAGTGCCTAATATTTTTATGTAAATTTTTACAATTTCCAGTTAAGCTCCGATTATTTATTGGTCTTGAAACACAATCTTAGAACAAAAGAATACGTAATATCACAAATTAAATTGATAAGAAGTTTAATATTACTGAATTATAATATAATTATAAATAATATAAATTATTATATTATTATTATATTTATTATTATTATACCGATAATTAGATAATATATACTGTGATTTTCTTTCGCGAAAATATGATATTAATTTCAATTCTCACATAATTATAACAAAAGTAAAGATACAGAACTAAATATCCGATAAATTTACAGTT